AGAATATAGAGATGGCAAAATTAACATGCAAAAAGATGTTTGACACTGTGAGCCACTAGGGAAATGCACATGGAGCTCATTATGACAGATTGCTATATACCTACCAGCACAGATGAAGGAAAAAAAAATATTGACAAAACTAGGTGGTGGCAAGGAGGAGGAGCAACTGGGTCACTCATACTTTGCTGGTGTAAATACTAGCCACTCTGTAAAATTGTTTCTTTTAAAAATTAAACATGAAACTACCATAAGATCTAGTAATTATGATCCTGGAAATTTACCAAAGAAAAATGAGAATTTATGTTCATGCAAAAACTTATACAAAAATGTCTATAGCAGCTTTATTCATAAGCACACAAACAGGTCACAAGCCAGTTGTCCCTCAGGGTAAGAGTGTCCAGAGTGGGCTGAGACAGATGCTGCAGAAGCTCACATGTGGACTGTGTGGAGCTTTCCAGAGAAAGCGCATGACTGGGGCAGACATAGGGTGTGTGTTGAGGGATGGGGAGAGAATAGTGAAGACGCACTAGCAGATCCAAAGAGTTAATCTAGAGTTGGGTACATTGTGAACTGAATCTTTAAAGTCACAGGTTTCCCAGATCTGTGAATACTGCTGCAATAGGGCAGCCTCCTTGGCGTGAAGGGGCATGTGCTTTTCTTCTTTAGCAGGATGTGACTTGCTACCTACATATAGAATGACGTTGTGTGGACCCGTTGTGTTGTTGCTTTTGTGTGTGGGGTTATGGGCGCCTATGCAGGATGTATAAGTACATATAATATATAAGTCAAAAGGATTGGACTAACCAAGTCAGCCAAGGGACTCTGGTATAGAGGACGCATGTTCCTCCAAAGTACCATAAGATGGCAGCACATGGACACAGCATTTAAAACTTTCTTCCACTGAGAAAATGTTGAAACCGAACTTTCCTCTGGTAATTCCTCTGCCATCCTGGGAAACTCTACACTCCAAGGCTTACAGGGCATGATGATAATGTGTTGTAAGCACGTGCAAAATTTGTTGAGGTAAATACAAAGATTTCAAAGATGACAAGAGATCAAGTAGTTAAAATCCTTCCGAGTGCTCAGTAAAATTTGCTCCTGAAGATGGAAGTGAATGATACTTGATAAAAGAATCTGTAATTGCTGCTGTAAATTAATAATCTGTAAATTAAGAATTTAACCCTATGTCAGGCATATATATAATCGAGTCCTTACATACATTATTAAACTTTACTGTTTTCATCTGGAATACTGATGATTATCCTCATTTTACAGACGGGGAAAAGGTGGACTAGAGCCCTTAGGAATTTCGGTAATGGAATACAGATGGTGAAGACTGAGGTGTAAACTGGTTTAATCCCATTTGCCTGATCCACAAGAATCCTCCAGTATACCGTATCTCCGCTAGGTGGTGATCGTGTCTAACCTGTGATTGTTGGTGATCCTTGAAGTCTGTCCAACAACTATTAAACCGGAAAGGGTCTTTCTCTTCATCAAAAATATTTTGCAACTAATTATTTGTATGTTCATTCCCACCACCAACTGAGAATATCCCTTAGCTTGGAATTAGTTATAACAGTAATTAGCAATTTATTATCAAGAAAAAGTTTTATCTCTTATACACTGTTGGTGGGATTGTTAATTAGTTCATCACTATGGAAATCAGTATGGAGGTTCCTCAAAAAGATTAGATATGAAATCACCTTATTGACCCAGCTATACCACTCCTCAGTATTTATCCTAAAGAATTAAAGTCACCAATGGATAAAGAAAATGTGGTGTATATATACACAATGGAATATTAATCAGCCATAAAGAATGAAATTATGGCATTTGCTGGTAAATGGATGGAACTGGATACTGTCATGCTAAGCGAAATAAGCCAATCCTCAAAAAACCAAAGCAAATGTTCTCTCTGATATGCATATGCTAACACACAATAAGAGAGGAGGGAAGAATAGAAGTTCATTAGATTAGACAAAGAAGAATGAAGGAAAGAGAAGGGGGTGGGAATAGGAAAGACAGTAGAATGAATCAGACATAACTTTCCTATGTTCATATATGAACATACGACCAATGTAACGCCACAAGAATGGGAGGTTATACTCCATGTATGTATGATATGTCAAAATACACTCTACTATTATGTGTATCTAAAAAGAATTTTAAAAAATTATAAAGATTTAAGAAGAAAATCATCATACTGAAGCAATACATGCTCCCCATGTTTATAGCATCACAATTCACAACAGCCAAATTACAACTATAATACACCAATAAAATATACGGAAAAAAGTTCATAAGATTCTTTACAAGAGTACCTCATTTTTTGTTTCCCACTTTAATTGTACAACTAAAATTACAAGACACCCAAAATGCCATGAATTAACAACTCCTGGAAGTGATAGATCCCAAGTAAGCATAAACAGCTACCTTCAAATGGTAGCTTCCTGCCATACATTTGGTTTGGTATTGAGCAGAGGGAAAGTAAGATGGCTAGATACCAATAGTTACATTTTTAAAAATTAACTTTGCAAAGCTGACTTTTTCCAATTCCCATTTCTATCTGGGAGTATAGAGGTATCAAGATGCCAAATACTCCATAGTACTTAAGTGATAGAATACTGAAAAGAATGTAAAGATAGGCAGGCAGGTAGGAGGGAGACAGGAAAAGTCTATTGGACATATATCTATTTCATCTACATACAGAAAACCCATGGGGATCCTGCCTACTCACTGCCATCCCAGCTCAGCAGTTCATGTTCATACCTCCACCCCCCAACCCAGGCAACAACTTGGTGGAAGAAGGGAAACAAGATCAATTTAGGATAAAGTAAATAGGGAATCAGAATCTTCCCCGTCTTTTTTTTTTTAACTGAAAATGCCAAATCCTATCAAAGTGAATTTAGCATGTGAATTTTCACTAAAGACATCTCTAATTTTTGACTTGCACATTTATGATATATGTGATTTCCATATGTGATAGGAAGTTATTTAAGGTGGGCATTATCTCTTTTTTACCAATCCAGAAACTTGTAGCTTTCCTAAGTGATATATCCAGGGAAACAATGAATTTAGAAAATTAGACTTTCAAGCATAATAAAATCTCATCTAGCTGGGTGTGGTAGTTCATACCTATAATCTCAGCTACTGTGGAGGCCGAGGCAGGGGATCAAAAGTTCAAAGCCAGCCTCAACAACTTAAGGAGACCCTGTCTCAAAAAGGTGTGGTGGGGGCTGGGGATGCAGCTCAGTTGGCAGAGTGCTTGCCTTACATGCACAGGACCCTGGGTTCAATCCCCAGCACCAAATAAATAAAGTCAACATATTATTTAAAAAAAAAAAAAGTGTGGTGGCCTGAGGATGTAGGTCAGGGTTAAAGCGCCCCTAAGTGGAATCTCTATTGATGAGATAAAAGTTGTGTGATTAGGGGGACTATCAGGTTTCAGACCAGCCCTGCAGATCCTCTAAGGTGAGTTCAGCCATGTGAGACCCATCAGACTGCTGCTTGCTTTCCTCCAGCTCTGTTCAGCTGTGTGGGTGCAGACCATGGCTTGGAGGTGAGATGGAAATAGAAGGCCTTGAGGGCACATACAAGGAAGTAATTCCAACAACTGGCTGGGTAATTAAGGCTGGAAGAGGCAGAAAGTGAGAGTCTGAGAGGAGGTAGCAGGCCACTGTTAAAGGGGATGGGACCAATGCATTGGTGGTCTGGCTGTGGGGAGGGTGCCAGAGGGAGTGAGCTGTGATAGAGAGCAAGATGCACAAGATTTCTGTTAGGGAAAGCTGTCAGTATTTGTCAGGACAGGTCTGGGAAATGACCATTGGAATGAATGGCTGAGAAGACAAGATCTTTGGCAGAGAACCGAGATGCCAGGATATTGGAAATGTTATTTACAAAGATGTTGACATCACCAAACAGAGAGTGTTAGAGAAAGTGACAGTGAGGCAGGAAGTGAACCTTCAAGGAAGAAAGTCCTCTGCAGCCTTTGGTAGATGACTGTCACCAGGAAGGTGGTGGGAGAAATGGGGTATCATAGAAGCAGGGAGAATGTTCCAGGAAAGGAGCAATGAATGGTGAGGAAGACAGCCACCTTTAGGCCCATGGATATGCAAACAGGGCATGAAAGAAGACATCAGCATTCTGAGAGAACAAGAAGGGAAAAAGAGGTTGCAGTCAGAGCTGTGAAGTCAGCCACATCCACTACTGAACAATGGAAAGGTGACTTGTGTGACTGAGGAACTGAACTTTCAATAGAACTTAATTCAAATTCAGTTAAAAACTGAATCAGAGTAAAATATTGTATTAGTCAGCTTTTAGTTACTGTATCACAGATCTCAAGTAATCGACTTATAAGGAAGAAAGGTTTATTTTGGCTGTTTCAGAGATTTCCGTTCATGGTTGTTTGGCCCCATTGCTTTTGGGCCTGTGGTGAGGCAGCATATCATAGCAGGGAGTATGTGGTGGAGCTAGCTGCTCACCTCCTGGCAATCAGGAAGCAAAGAAAGGAAGAGAGGACCAGACAGGGATCCACCATTCTCTTCAAGGCTACCTCCCCAGTGATCCCAAGAACTCCTACTAGACCTCTTAAAGGTTCCAATCCCTTCCAATAGCACCAAGCAGAGAACCACACCTTTAACACATGGGCCTTTGGGGAACATTCCAGATCCATACTATAACAAATGTTTTTCTCTTAAACATAGGTTTATTGATTTGGTAGGATTTCATTTCATTGTAACTGTTGGAAATCCAAACTGAGATGTGCTCTACCTATAAAATGCATTGCTGATTTCAAAGAGTTAGTGTGGGGGATATAAAATAGCTAATATTTTTATAGTTTTTGTGTGTTGAAATATATTGGGTTACATAAAATGTTATGAAAATTAATTTCACCTTTCAACTTTTTTTTCTTATTTACTACTAGAAGATTTGGAATGAGGCCTATATGTTCAGTGCTAGCCTAGAGAAAGATGAAGGCACCATGGAGGGGAAAGGTCGAGATTGCTTCTCAGCCTTTTGGCTAAGATCAAATGTTGTTTCTGTTCTTATCAGCTTAGTATCTGATATGTCCTCTACCCAAGGACAATACATTAAATGGATTTTTGGAAATAGGAGATGGAATAGCCTGCTCTGTATACTCCATGCATCAAACAGATTACAGTATCTCCAGGAATGATGCACCAAAAAAGAAAAGGTAGAAGACATATGGCATTTCACTGACAAATGACCAAGCAGCACAGAGGAAGGCTCTAGGGATGGTCAGGAATGGAAGAAGGGGTCAGAGAGTTAGATGCACAGTCATATGGGACAAGTGCCTCAAGGTTGAGGGACCACCAGGAGTCTTGGGAGTCTCTTGGTGCCTGGAATGAATAAGCAAAGGCAACAGTCAGTCATAAACAGTAAATCCTGATTTTCTCAAAACAGACATGGTATTGAGGCCATGAATTTTTTCAGGTAGGTAGGAGGCCCAGTGCTAGTTGGGAATCCCAAGTCACTCTGTCAAAAGGGGCAGGGAGAAGAACTCGACAGGATTTACTAATGGATTGGAAGTGGGGTCTGAAAGTAAAAGAGGAGTCAAGGGTGACTCTAAGCTCTGACCTGAGCAAACTTGAAGAATGGAGTTGCATGTCATCAGATAGGGGAGACAGCTGGTAAAACGTTGGGGTGCACAGAGGGAGGACATGAGTTCCCATTGGGATTTGTGAAGTTTGAGATTCCTGTTAGACCTCCAACTAGAGATCTTAAAAAGGCAGTTGGCAACAGGAGTCTCTGGTTCAAAGGAAAGATGAACCTAGAGACACAGATCTGAGCATCTTCAGCATATAGATGGTATTTAAGACAATGGACTATGAATTCTGAGATCAAATAATTGTATACCAATTAGAGATCAATTCATAGTCATGTTCGTCATTTTGAATAGCCATGGCATAAATAACTCCCAATTCATTTTTAAAGGTGATTTTTTTAAGTGCATATTATCTAATGATATTTGGCTTAATGTAATTTTACAATGACCGGATTTACTCCAGACACACACCAGATTATAGGTAGTACAAGAATCCAGAAACTAGACTGACATTACCACATTTCATCATTCAGAGACACTATAGATGCTCATCTAGAATTTTCTACCTTCTGCTCACCCTCACCTCATTCCTGTCTCATTGCAAACATTTCCCCGCACACTTGGAATCTTGTTACAATGAACAAAATGTTGAGTGAGAGGCTTTTGAACTGAACCACCCACAATACCCAGCTGCATTAGGTCAACTGGTGAACAGGCAAATCTCCAGTTCATACCCTCAGCATAGTGCTCTCTGCCCAGAAATTAACCAACAGCCTAAATTGCAATGAGAAAGAAAAAGGGGAAATTGCATCAGATGAATCATTCTTCCTTTTTCCCCCCTAGTTAGCTAAGAAAACACAAATAAACTCCTGATTATCACAGTTCAACCCTGGGTTGCTTCTGCATTCCACTTCCCTCCAGAAACCCCATGCCTCCCTACAGGTGTCCCTGCACCCTGCCCTCAGCCAGGCTGTACCCCATTCTTCAGCACCCACTTTCCTTGGACTCATTTGTGCCACTATACTCTGTAGTGGGCTCCAATCTTGCCAGGAAAATGACTGATTCATTTTCTGAACACTCCCCTGCCAAAACTCCTACTGTGAACAACACAAAAGCTTTCCATCCTCCTCTAGGCTGGCCAGGCTCCAACCCTTCTGTGCCATCTGGACTTCCACTAAGTGCTACACCCTCCACTGTGCTTCTTGGACCAGCGCCAACAGAAATGCCTCCTTCTGTACCTCCCAACAGACCCCCTCCAGGACCCCCAGGGCCCTTTCCTCCTTCAGGATCATCATGGCCCCCTTCTCGTGATTTTTACCCAGCCTGATCCGTACCAGGCCCTGACCCCATACAGCCATATATTATATAAAACATGCCCTTTGCAGAGCTACCTATACCTTATGGTGCACCCAGATTCAGCAGGAGCTGGTCTTTTAGGGCCACAGGGATTCATGTCTTCTGGGCTTTGTGCATCAGAATCGGTAGGACCGTATACTTTCCCTAATGTACTATGTAGCCATCTCCAGGGCCATATCTCACTGTTGCTCCTCAGCAAGCATCAGAGGCAGCAACGCGTTTCATGGGACATGGGGCTACCAGGAGCCTGAGTACCCCCAGCACCTGCAAGATCATATCCCACACCAGAACTCTCTCCTACTCCCAGTAACCATTTCCAGGTGTCTTGGGGACTTTTTGGTGTTCCATCAACAGCTGGTAGCTCCCCTTCCTGCCATTAAGTTGATAGCGGATGAAAAGATGGCATTTTTCAAACTGCATGCATATATGCATATTAAGGCTTGTATAAAAATTGCTGATTACTTTGAATGTTTTTGAAGGCATTTGTGAAAGAAGGTAGATCTTCTATCCAGGCCATTTCCTATAGTTGCCCCCCTCACACTACCCCAGTTCTTTAGAAGGAGCACATCTCTTGAATACTTCCTTATAAGGAAAACTGACACATTCTAGGGGTCTGCTATCGGAACATATACCAGTTTAGAGAACTTTAGCCAAACAGACATGACTCTTCCCTTTCCACAATGTGAATCCAAAATGCACGTCTTTCAGAGAGCCTTCTAGAATGTTCCATGTCCTCTGTATGGCTTTTTGCATCCTTTAATGTCATCTATGACCTATGGTGTCCTCTTTTCCCTGTATTTCCTGTACAGGGAAAGGCATACTCACATTCAGTTTTAGCTGTTTAGGAAAGAACTGATAATAGATATTGTGCTTTTGCTACGGCCATGTGCCAGAAGGCACATAAAAACTTTGTTACTCTTGCTGATGCCAAAGCCAAAATGTTCAGGAGGTTCAGGCGGGGGTCACATTCATTCCTCACCATAAACTTCTCACTTTGTGGTTCAAGAATCTCTGGACTTGGGCTGGAGATGTGGCTCAAGCGGTAGCGCGCTCGCCTGGCATGTGTGCGGCCCGGGTTTGATCCTCAGCACCACATACCAAAGATGTTGTGTCCGCCAACTGAAAAATACATATTAAAAAAAAATTCTCTCTCTCTCCTCTCTCACTCTCTTTAAAAAAAAAAAAAAAAAATCTCTGGACAACCATTGCCTACAATTCACTGTTCCACTGATGTTTACAAGGTGACAATTTGTCTAATTCTGTCATTCCTTTTGCTTTTTTTAGTTGGAATTCTTCCATAAAGGAAACATCTTCCTTATTAACTCCTTGATTTTCCTGAAATACAACTGAAACACAAAGGGAGGATAAATGCTTGATTCTGTCCCTTTGTTTATAAACTGACAGAGAACTAGGTTGTGCCCATTAGGCTCTAGTGGCAACAAATGCAGGGTTTTGGTTGCTATTTTATTTTGTAATTGTATCAGGACAATATGTTTTAGGTCACAGACATCCATTAGTGTCAAGATTGTCCTCTCTGGAGTCTCTTTAAGATTGGCTCATCTGTTCTCACTTCATCCCTTAAGTCTTTGATGCCTTCCTTGTTTCTGGCACAAGAGGGCTCCAAGCTCTTGGGACACAGGGAATACTTCTTAGAGACTCCAAAGAGGGAAGCCCTTATGGCCCAATTTTCCCCAAAATAAACTGCAAGCTACCACTCCTGAGTAATTTAAAAGGAAGCAGGAAATTAAAAATGTTAACAGAACCATCAGAAGTATTAGTCATTAAAAATGAAGTTGTAAAATGCTAAAGAGTAATGTGGAAATTTTTCATTTTCTCTCTACATACATACATGTATACAGTAAGTTTTTTTTCGAAATAGTTTCACAGGAAGTTGCAAAGATATATCCTTCACCCAATTTTCCCCAATGGTTCCATTTAGATAATCCTAGTAGAAACATAAAAACCTAAAAATTGACATTTGGCACAAGGTTATGTAGTTAGTTCTGTGTCTTTGAATCACACAACACAACCCTCACTACATTCAGGATCTAGAACAATTCCATCACTACAAAGGTCTCCCACCTGTTGTACTTTTAGAACCAGCTCCACCCCTTGCATGACATCCCTAACAGTTGGAAACTATTGTTTTCCACTTTTCTGATTTGTTACCTCAAAGTTATGCAAATGTAATCATATAATACATGATCCTTGAGATTCCATATTGGTTTATTATTATTCAATGCATTGCCATTGAGATGTTTTCAAGTTGCTATGTTCTGAAGTGTCATAGTTCATTACTTTATTTTTTAATTTTTTTTTTGATGGACACCATGCCTTTGTTTATTTTTAAGTGGTGCTAAGGACCAAACCCAGTACCTCACACAGGCTCACAAGTACTCTGCCACTGAGCTACAGCCGCAGCCCAGTTCATTGTTTTTTATTGTTGAGTGTTTTTTCATGGTCTAGGTGTTTCAGTTTGAACCATTCACCTATAGAAGAATATTTTTGTTATTTCTAATTTGGAGCTCCTCCAAATAAAGCTGCTACAATCATGCACATGTTTTTGTGTGGATGCAAGTTTTTATTTCTCTGAGATAAATATCAGGAGTGTGATTGCTGGGTCATATTTTAATTGCATAGCTCTAGGCAATCACTAATTTTGTTTTGCCTTTGTACCAGGGTTTTGCAAAATACTGTCTTGAGCTAAATTCAGTTTATAGCCTATTTTTGTAAACAGTTTTATGGGAATATAGCCAAGACCATCCATTGGATGTCACCCACTGGCTAACCTAAGGTACATGATGCTGTCTTCTCTAATCACTAGGTGCTAGAGGTACAATAAATACCTCTAGATACCTAGAGCCAGAAACAGCGTTATCGCTTAGAGGTAGAGTGCTTGCCTAGCACATGTGAGGCACTGGGTTCAATCCTCAGTGCCATATAAAAATAAAGAGGTACTGTGTCCTTTACAACTAAAAATTAGAAATAAGCCAAGCATGGTGGTGCATGTTTTTAATTGCAGTGGCTTGGAAGGCTGAGGCAGGAGGATCCAGAGTTCAATGCCAGCCTCAACAACTTAGGCCCTAAGCAACTCAGTGAAACCCTAACTCTAAATTAAATATATAAGGGGCTGGCGATGTTTCTCATTGGTTGGGCACCCCTTGGTTCAATTCCTGGTACCAAAAGAAAGAAAAAAAAAAGATAACTTAGAGGGGTGGCAAAAGAGAAAGTCTGGAAAAGGATGAAGTGGGAAGACAAGACAGGCTGGCATGAGAAGCTAAGTGTCTGCGGCTGGGTGAGAGATACTAAGAAGATGGTTACATGCTAGAACTTTCAGGAAGCAGGTTTCTGAGGTAGAAGTGGGTCCAATCCCTTATTGGGCACCTAACTTTTTATATATCATTATCGATGTGTAATAAGAAGTTTGTGTGTGTGTGTGTGTGTGTGTCTACAATCATCTCATTTAATGGACCAAAGGGCACAGATATAATGCCATAATAAGCACTCAAAACACAAAAGGGTGTATACCACCTAACAAGCCTCTCTGACCACAGCACCTGGGAGATAAAATATTGATACCATCAAAGCAATCTCATTATTCTTTATATCTTAGACTCAGACAAAAAGTAACAAGGCAAGCAACTATGAAGAGAAGCATAGCCAGCTACTCTGCAAATTCAGAGAGGGGAAGGAAAGGCATTGTGCTTAGACTAGGGTATTCATAAAAGGCTCCAAGGCTGTAGAGTGTCTTGCAAGGAGAGGTGGAGTTAGTGAGCAGAATAGGACAGGAAGGCCCTGGTGAAAGATGCTGGAGACAAGGCTGTGATGCAACAGGGAAGCAGAATGCTTATGAGACAGTGCCACTCTGGCCATTCTGCTTTTAATATAGCAAGAGCACTTGAACTCACTTGAACAACTGAGTCTGCCAGTTGTTACCTCATCACCACAGCTAGTCAGATTAGAATTTACTTGAATTAATAAATGCTTCCTGTTAATACTGAGTATTACATAGATTATCTCGTGGGGAGAAAATGCAAGCTGCTGAACTGAAGCAAGTATATGAAATCCACAATTGAACATGTAAGTACCTGTAGATACACAGCTATGTCTGCAAGGGGACATATTCTATCAGCCAAGTTTTCTTGGGGATAGGCAACAGAATCTGCCTCTAAATGATATTAAAAGAAAGGAGTTTGATAGAGATGTGAAAGATCTCATAGAATTGGAGGTCAGAAAGGATGAGTCAAGATGATCTAATGGGTTTCATGGCAAAATTCACTTGACATCCTGGAATGGAAACAATCAAAGTACTTGTTCTAGCTTCTGGCTATTCTGATGAAGACATAATGATCCAGGAGAGTTCAGAGATTCAGCGGGTCTGGCTCTATTGATGTGCCTACTCCTTCGTTGGCGGAAAGGAGGGCACTTTGTCTTACAGCTCTTAAAGACTAGACCCAACATGTGAGACAGAATTCCCAAAAAGGAAATGCTGCTCCCAAAAGAAAGCAGGCACTCAACAGCTGAAGAACCACAAATCTCTCCACTACACAGTTATATTCTTAATTTGGGCTTCCTGAGGGAAGGTGGCACCCATATCACACTCCTCTAGGATGGTAGTGATTTGTAACAGCGTTATAACGATCAGAGAATCATGCCAAATAAGCACGTCTTGGCTCTGAATACACTACAGATGCATACATATGCGTCTATTAGAGTACATGGTATATAAACCTAATTTTCTTGGGTGTAAGCAACAGATTCTGCCTCTCATAGTAGAAAATTATGCCCAAGAAAAATGGACAAATTATAAAAAGATAAAACAAAATTGACCAAAACAGAATATAAAAATGTTCTTGGGCCAAAAACCAAAATGAAGCCATCTGATGACACTAAGGTGATGTGCAATGTCCCAGGTGTCCTTCACCAACTACCAGTTATAAATCATTTAACTGGGTTCAGATAAAGGTTTTGGAGCTTTCGAGTGAGGCAATCGAAAGGCAGAAGTTAGAAGAGGGAAGGAAAGAGACAAAAACACAATCACAAAATGACAACACACATGAGGAAATGACATGCTAAGAGAAAAACCAATAAAATCAACAATCTGAACATCCTAAAAAAGATTTAAAACAAAAATTGAGGGTATTCAAAGAGATAAATAGAAGTTACACTTTAATTTAAAAAAAGACTTTGAACTATTTTTTTAAAAAGGAAAGGAATGAAATAAAATTGGATGAACATAAAGAAGAATCAATTAGAAAATTTGGAAAAAAATGTATAGCTTAATTAGTGTCTAAAATAAACAGTAAACAGTATACTAGCAAATTGGAACAGAGGAAATTACCTCAAATGCAACACACAATACACACTTATCCCTCCTTTCAACTGAGATGTCTAATAGGCAACTCAAATTCTTATCACATTTTTACTAAAAGAAACATAAGAGTTTGCACAGCTTCCATTCCCATGATAATCAGGAAAAACAAAACAAAACAAGGATGCCTCTGATTGCTACTAGCTAATGAAATAATTTTTTAAATTAGAAACAAGGGGCTGGGCTATGGCTCAGCAGTAACACACTTGCTTGGCACGTGTGAGGCACTGGGTTCGATTCTCAGCACCACATATAAAAATAAAGGTCTATCAAAAACTAAAAATATATTTTTAAAAATGGAAGCAAAAAAAATGCATTCAGCAATGTAGCTAGAGCTATGACCAATTAACAAAAATTTACTGCTTGTAACTGAAGTATTTGAGGAAATGTAAAACAAAATTTTAAAAACCTATTTTGAGTATTATTTTAAATTCTAAGACTAGGAGGGCAAAGTGGAACACACCTGCAATGCCAGCAATTCTTGCGAGGTTACAGCAGCAGCTCACTAAGTTTAAGGTCAGCCTGAGTAACTACCTGTCTGGGGGGAAAAAAAATCTAGGGATATTGCTCAGATAAAGCACTGAGTTCAATCCTCGGTACCAAAAACTTAAAATCTAAAAATGAACTTTAAAAAGCAACAACATCTAAACAAAAACTCATTTTACTGGAAAACATTTTGAATAAATCAGACATACGGTGTTCAAGTACTTCTTCTATTATTCCTGAACTATTTTCCTCATTATTTTTAAACACTTCCCCTTCATGTCACTTTCCTTCTTTAAAATCATTAACAAGCTTATTTTCTCCTACACATACACCAAGACTCTATCTGGTATTCACAGTATCTTCTCTACTGTCAAAATGGCTCCTTCATTCTTCAAAAAACACTACAACTACACCCTGGCCATAGTTACTCAAACTGCTTTCACAACTGTCCAGATCACCACCTTGTTCTGTAAGAGCTCGAGAGCTCATGAAGTCTTTGTTCCAACCCATGATTCCCTCTCCATTACTTCCAACACACATATGGTATGGCAGTCTCAATAAGCTCTCTTGCATTTAAGCATCTCAAATCTGTTTCTCTAACTGTATAAGCCCACTAAGAGGTTATATTTGAATGCAAAAACTTTCCACCCCCAAAATACATAACCCCAGGAGTAAATCAATTATACAAGTCTAAATTAACAGGACTCCATTATCAACCTAGAGAATCAAACCAGTAATATTGTGGAAGACACAAATCAGTCACAGCTACAGAGAAATCACCAAGACAAAAAACCTGTTCCATAGGTCACACAAGTTCTAACCAAAGCAGCAACTTCTTATGTCCCACTTAAATCAATGAAATAATGATTCTGGTAATTCTCCTCATTCAGAGTGAAGCAGAAATTGGGTAGGGTAACATGTCAAATACTTGACTCCAAGCAATTGGGGCAGAAAAAAAACTCCAGATGTAAATATATAAACACATGCACACACAAACATGTGAGCAGACAGACTCCAGACAATAGTCAAGCATGCCTCACAAAACTGTGAAACCACCAGAGTTAGGAAAATAGGATTGTTGCCACCACTGTTTATTTATCTAGTTCATAACTAAGCATAGTAGTGCCTGCCCTTATGGGGCTTACAATCTTACTAGGGAAAGTATAGAAAGTACACAAGAGAGCTGGACTATAAAAAAGTTCATGCCAAGTGCCACAAGACTTCAGAAGGCAGCGTAGTTTAAGAATGCAGGATTAAAAGTCATCAAATCCAGATTCTAGTTCCAACCTTGTAAATCAGATAACCTCTCTGGTATTATTAACCCAGCAGAAAAACGTAGTAGTGAGATTTAGAGGCTGTCTGCACTTGTTTCCATCAGGATTCGGATCAAAAGCTGAGGCAAGTTTTATGGAGGAGGTGGCTCCCAAGCAGGATACTGATGAAAGGCAGAGAAGGCATTTCAGACAAGGAAAGTGGCACTGAGGTAGGCGGAAGTGTGGCTTTGGAGGGGAGAAGAGACAAGTGTCACACAAAAATGGAAAGAAGTACATGGCAGCAGGAAGCCAGCTGCTGTAGCCCTCAGACACTACCCACTTTAAAGTGAACTGTGGGCCTCACATTCAGCAGTTACAGAACACAATCCCAGAGAGGAGAAAATACCAGAGAACAATGGCGGCATTTTATCAAACATTTCACTCTACTTCCAGAAAGTATAAAATAATTTAACATTAACTCTACATTTCAAAATTGATAAATAAGCTGTCCCAATTGTCAAAATGTAGATGAATTCAAAATTTACATTCATATTAAATATAACTATGTCTCTTAATTTAAAAGGACATTTGATACAAATAACCCAGTAATTCCAACATTTTTTATCTACTAAGTTCCATGTACTATGGAAATAAAAATAATTAGTAATAAAGAACCTTGCCCTTAAAGAGGCTGCAGTCTGGTAGGTCAAACATCAACTACGTCTACCTAGAATGTAGTGTGAGGCACAGCATGATGAATATGAGAACGTAATATCTGTTGAAAAATTGGATTCCTTCCTCTGATGGGGTTTGGCAAGGGCACAGAAGGGAAAAGTGGTTGGCGCAAATAGAAATGAGTGTATCAGGGAGAACATGCCTGGGAAGAACAGGACTTCTGGGCAGAGGGCAGATGGGCACAGATTGGGTAATGTGGGGTCATGGTATGTGCAGGTTCTAGCCCAAGTACTACATGGCTGGAGCACAATTTAAGCGTTAACAGGGGGTGACACAGAGGCCTGGATTCAGCCCTAAAAACATTTGTTTTAACCCTCTACTCTCACTGGTTTGTAAGTCAGGAAGAAATAGAAAATTAAATGAGTGGCTAGGAAATAAGTAAAGTGTATCATAAGTAGTTACTATAAGCTCCTCTCAGCAAATTAAATTGTTTGGCAGCACATACTCCCCTCTCCTTTCCTGACATCTCTTTTCTGCCCACCCCCATGATGATCTGCTTCCCCTCTGTTCCCAAGTCATCATAGAGGAAATGGAAGTAAAGAGCCCCAGGAAGAGCAATAGGATGGAAACAGAAACACACATATATGGCCATCAGGTTCTATTAGGGAATGATCACTGCATTGTACAAAGGTTTGTAGGTAAAGTACACTAATTCCTTCAGTTTTCTAAAAGTGTCCAATTCACAACAAAATATTAAAAATACCATTCCATGAGGGAAATGTATATAGAATCCTTATAGACTATTTTTCACTAAATATCAATGTCAAAATACCATAGGATTTCCAACCCTATCTTTACACAACTAAGATCTAACCAAAAGTGCATTGCTTAGTTTAAAAAATAAAAAGATGATGTGTAATTTTCAAGTTCTAGGTTTTCAGACACTACCAAAATTATGTCAATATATGAATAAACTGCCTTGTGAAAAACACATAGTAAAAGGTAGATGAAATTTGCCATCTCTTTAGGGTAAACACTAAATATCAATTTATCATAATAACATTATAAAACCATTCTAAAAGTAATAACTTCTTGAAATTCCATTTTATAATGAAGAAAATAAATCTGTCATTTTATTTAACATTCATTCTTAAGTTACAGATGTCAATACAATCTGCTTCTAATGAAAGCAACCTTAGTATAATCTTAAAAACATGCATATACACTCAGTAAGATCTTCCACATTTCTAAATAAATTACATGCATGATATATATTAACCAATAAAGAAAACCAATGTAAGAATCCAGGACATTTATTTTTCTGCATGGACATTTAACTACTGTACAATATGCACACAAAACAAACCCACAAAGCAACAGTGTGAAATAGGTAGTGAGAGACTCTTAAAATAAGCATACTTTAAATGCCTTAGCTTTTTTTTTGTTGTTTTTTGTTTGTTTTAGGCAACAAAATATTTTCAGTCCTTGACATCTTCTCACACTTACCTAGCACCACAGATGCAAGGACTGAATAGTAAACATGTATAATTTCATGCTCAAAACCTAAAGCATGCATTGAATCAAATTTATATATTGTGATCTACTCTACTACATACGTAACACATACTTCTAATATTTTATACATTAAATTACCCTGCAGCATTTTGAAATTTTAACATTTATGCAAAACAACTTTTGAAAGATGAAATGAGTTTCAAGGCTCACCTCCAGGCTGGTTTGGTTAAGTGAGGGAAATGGCAGCAGCCTCAAGGTTCATACTGAATGAAAATGGTGTATGTGTATGTCAATCCATGTAAAAAATACCTATATACACAGATGGCACAAACATTTGTGCAGTTGGAATCACCAGTGCAAATGCATGCATTTGAGGTACTTATTTGTTCCATGGTCAGGTATAATTATGCGTAGTCATTTTCCTCAAGTGCTAAAGATTTCAGACCTGATCGAATGAAAAGCTCTAAGAGTAAATATGAAATATTTATATAGTTAATTTCAAAGTGCTATGCTTTTAATGAAGATTTGTTTAACATTATAGGCTTAAATATTTAGTTTAAAAATATTTACTAAACAATAAATTTTCTCCTTGTCTAGAGACTGACTGGAAATTATACCTGGCCAAGTGATTTAAATAGCATATTTGAAATTTTTGCAAGAACTGTAGTGAAAGAGTGAAATACTTCATTATTGCTTCATTGGACTGAGAAACCCAAAAGGCATAAACAATGCTCAATGATGAAAACTGATTATCCAGAACAGTGGTGCATGCCCCAAAATGGCCTATGCAATAAAAACTAAGCATTCTCCACATTATCAATGCCATTGATATCATTCTCCCCACACAAAGAGGAGGGAACAAAGTGGCTAACAGTGGGACACAAACAGCTCTTAAGCTCTGGCAATTCCTGCTTCAGGCGTTCCAACTGCTCCACTTGGAATATATTTGGTTGTTCAGGCATCCAATCATATATCCTATGGTGAAACAAACACAGAATACATAAAATAGTGTAATTTTATGGCTTATTTAAGAACTGCCTGACTTAACACTGTCGTGAGAATTCATTTACAAAATGTCTGGAACATCCATATTACTGAGTTTCTTTTGTTTTTATTTTTAAAGACAAATGCATCAGATCCATTTAAAATTTTTCTTCTTCCTAGTCTAGTAACCCTGAATACCAGCACTGCTTTTTCATATCCCTGATACAAAAGAGCTGATTATAAAGCAATTGAATTGGAAATGTATAGATTAATTACTAGTGACTTTTGAAAGTATCTGCTACTCAAGTGATTCAACTGGCAATGCCTTAATTTCAAAATGGAAATGTTTGGAGAGCTAGAATTCATAGCCTATTTTGACTTCAAAGTCACTGAAGATGGAAGTAAAAAAAAAAACTGCCCAGTGTGGGAACTACCCTAACTCTGTGTAGTACAGAGCCCAGAAAGAGTCTCTCATGACTCATAGGAGCACTGGCATCACCCATCAGTAGAAAAAGGATAGGATGGCCTCTCACACCACACTTGAAAGTCAAGTAACTGTACAAGGAAATGTGAGAATCTTTTACCAAACATCACAGTTGGTAAGAAGTTATTAAACAAGATTTAAAAACAACATCTTTAAATATCTGATTCTAGTACAACAGATTTTGTTAATTAGACATGTTAGGGAATGAAAAGTGACCTCTGGGTCAAGGTATGAGACAGAAAGAACAGAACCATCTAACTTTACTCTCTTCCTATGTTCTGTTAAAAATAAAGGGAATTTCTGGGCTGAGGATATAGCTTAGTTGGTACAGTGCTTTTCTCACATGCTCAAGTCCCTGGGTTCAATCCTCAGCACCACAAACATAAATATATAAAATTTAAAATAATGAATTTTTTTTTTAAAAAAAGTGCATGATTATGCCAGATACAGTGGTGCACACTTCAGCTACTGGAAAGGCTGAGGCAGAAGGATCACAAGTTCAAGTTCAGCCTGGATAATTTAGTGAAACCCTATCTCAAAATATAAAGGGTGAGGGTAAGACAGGTATGGCTCAGTGGTAGAGCACTGAGTTCATTCCATGGTAACACACACACACACATACAAACACACTCCATGAGTATGAGAAAAATTCAAAGAGACAGAGCAATAAAACTGAAGGTTAAAAAAACCAGATGGATGAGTAACAATTAGAAGTTTCTCTGTACAACCTAAAAAGACCAATTCACAAGCCAGTAGTAGGAAAAACAAAAAGGCTAGGCTAAAAGCAGCAAATTCCTCTTAAACTGAAATGAAAGGGAAGGGAGCAAAAAAAGAAAATAAGAGGTGAAGATGTGGAGTAGCAATAAGCATTTTCTTCCTCTACTCCTAGCTGCTGAGGCTGTGTCTCCTTCACACTAGACACTCTGAGTTTAACTGGATGTCTCTTAGAATAGAAGATAATTGGGGCTGGGGATACAGCTCAGTTGGTAGACTGCTGGCCTCACATGCACAAGGCCCTGGGTTCAATTCCCAGAAACACACACACACACACAAAGGAATATAACCAGATAAGGTGTGGGTTTGTGCATTTTATAAAACCACCACCAAAGCCACAGCACCAGGGGAATTTGGAGAGAGCATATTACAAATACTAAAACCAGATACATCCTCCCTCCCCCACCTGTCTTCCCTCATTTAATTCCTGGCAGCCAGTGTTGGATCAGTAAAAAAGTAAAGTTCTTGCCAAGCATGGTGGCATATATCTCTCAGCAATTCAGAAGGCTGACGCAGGAAGATTTCAAGTTCAATGTCAGCCAGGGCAACTTAGCAAGACCCTGTCTCAATGGTAGAGTGAGAGAGTTCAATTCCTAGGACTGGGGCAATGTGTGTGGGGGGATAAAGTTCTAAATCTACTGACATCACCCCACAGTAAAGACCAGGTCAGCAACCCCATTCATACCTCCAGAATGTCCAATAAGCTTTGCAAGTCCCAACTGTACCATGGAAGGAAACCTTGGATTTCCAAACAGTTTAGAAAGCTTTTAAGATGAAAGAACACGACTGGAGATATAGCTCAGTGGTAGAATCCTTGCCTGACATGTATGAGAACTTGGGTTCCATCTTTAGCACCAGGGGGATTAAAATTCTTATGGAAAATTTTCAGGATGGCACTTGTGCCCACAGAGGTCAACCAATTTTTTAGTGGAGCTATCCCAGTAAAGAGAAAGGCATATTAAGGATACCATTCCAAGAGAGCCACTGCCACTCTAGCAGCCCTGTAACCTAAGGACATGTGTCCTAGGAAGCATGAACCAGTCTTACTTAAATACAGTACATCTGCACCATGTACTGATGCAGTTTCTACAATACCTGACAGGATTAGAATGCTTGGCCCTACTCCTGAGAACTGATGGTAGGCTACAATGCAGCAGGAAATACAGAACAGCCCACTCCAGGCTGTTCCTGTTGTACTTCCAATAGTTCCTGTTGTACTTCCAATGCCTGACCCACAGGCAGATGCCTGATGGTGCTGGGCTAGAGACCTAGTGGGTCACAAAACCAGTTTAGAAGTTAACATTTGCATTTAACAAGAACATACTCATGAATATGAAATATTCAAGGCACATTTCTTTAATTTTGTTCATATAGATAAACATTTGTAAATATACGTATCTATGTGTGTCATGGATTGCAATGCAAAATAGACTGGGGGTCAAAAAGATATTGTCCTAGGGCTGGGGTTGTGGCTCAGCAGTAGAGTGCTCGCATCGCCATGTGTGAGACCCACGTTCAATCCTCAGCACCACATAAAAATAAATAAAAAAGATACTGTCCTAGAGAAACCTAATACAGGGGCTGAGGTTGTGGCTCAGCGGTAGAGTACTTGCCTAGCACATGCAAGGCCCTGGGTTCAATCCTCAGCACCACATAAAAATAAATAAATAAAATATTGTGTCTATCTACAACTAAGAAATAAATATTAAAAAAAACACAAAAACCTTATACATGTATTCCAGGAAACCTGGTTAGTAATGTTCACAGCAAGGACCAGGAATGTAGCTCAGTGGTAAAGTACTTGCCTAACATGAATGTGTGAGGCCCTGGTTCAATCTCCAATACTTCAAAAATGATGATGATGATGATGATGGTGATGATAAATAAATAGTTCACAGCAACACTGTGCATAATAAAAGTTGGAAACAACATAAATGACAACATAAATGCTCTTAAAAAGCAGAACGGAATGTTATACAGCCATGAAAATGAATAATAGCTATTTTCCAAATAAAGTATGAAGTTTAAAATTATGTAAAACTCAATGGCTAATTATTTAAAGAAAGAAGATTAAATTTTTGAGGAAAATCAGGCTAGGGTTGTCAGACTCTGTGGTAAGAGTGCTTGCCTAGCATGCATGAAGCACTGGGTTCAATTCCCAGCACCATATAAAAAAAATAAATTAAACAAAAATAAAGGTATTGGGAACGTCAACAACTAAAAATGTTAAAGAAAAAATAATTTTGTAAGTGGTTATGTATGAAGGAGAAAGAAAGGGACTGTAAAATTATAATGGCATTTATTTTAAACACAGGTATCTGCTGTATTGTTACTGTATTGTGTTCTATTTTAATCATCTAAACTGATAAATAGCCATTTAATAAAACTGGAGGGCTGGGCTGAGGATGTGGCTCAGGCGGTAGCGCGCTTGCCTGGCATGTGTGTGGCCCAGGTTCGATCCTCAGCACCACGTACAAACAAACGAAGATGTTGTGTCTGCCAAAAAACTAAAAAATGAATGTTAAAAGTTCTCTCTCTCTCCTTAAAAAAAAAAAAAAAAAAAGATTGAAAAACCTGGAGGGCTGTGGATAGCTCAGTGGTTAAGCACTTGCCTAGCATGCATCAGGCCCTGTGTTTAAGACCCATCATCTAAAAAATAAAAAAGGGCAATTCTATCAAAACAGTACTATCCTTGATCTCAAAACTAGACAACCATTTGAGTAAGGTAAATTAAAGGTCATCTCACTAATTATCAAAAATGTAAAACTCTCAAACAAAATATTAGAAAATCAAATGCAGTTTATATATCACAAAAATATGATTAAACATGAAATCTGTGCTTGAAGAGTAAATCTGCCTTTGAAGAGTAAAATAGTTTTTTAATAATCTAAAACACCCACTCTTACGACACCAATCCTAAACAGCTCCAAATCAGTAAACATTAAAAAATTGTCTTCATGCCTAAATTTGATAATGTAACTATAAGAGCAATAAACATATTAATTAGAAATAGTGAGGTAAGGGCTTGGGGTATAGCTCAGTGCCTGCCTTGCATGCACAAGGTACTTAGTTCGATCCCCAGCACCAGAGAGAGAGAAATGGGGGGGTCTCCTAAAAATAAATAAATAAGGAAACAGGGACATGGCCAGGGTCAGTGAAAGGAATTGGAACAAAGGACTGAGGCTTTTTTATTATAAGCCTTACAAAACTATTTGAATTTTTAAATCGTAATACATGAAGTTCTTTGGTTACATTAGAAAGAAAATCCAGAGTTAACATAATCTAATTTATCTCTAAGAAGAGGTTGGTGCCATTCTGTCTCTCCACACTTTCAGAGTCCTACCCTAATTTATGTTCTTGCCTCTACCTAAAATGTCTATCTTATCTATCCTCAACTAACTTCTAACTTAATTCTTCTTTTAAGACTCCAAGCCAGGAAGAACTTCCTTTAGTGCCTCCTGTTTTCCATTATATGTGAACATTTGATGCCAATAACCAAGGCCCATGAGATGAAGGAGCTATCTAAAAATTTATAAATCCATACATCTTATAAAGCCATACATTCATAATCTCAGAGTACACTGTTCTTGCCTGAAAATATTTGCAATCACTCCTTCCTCCACATATGCACACATCTATGTGTGTACACATATATGAAATCTTCAAAGATTTGATCAAGCTAGCACTTCCTTCAAATTGTTCATTTAAAATTTTAATTTTTATCTAATTCGCTGGACATTATTTTTAAGTTACAGAACACACTATTTAATCCAAAATTAAACCAAACATTAACAAGGAAGGGAGGATCTTGGCTATAATTTAAAAACCAGACTAATTCAGACAAAATAGTGGGGGGAAAGCTTTATTAAGAAAGAGATATAAATTTATAGGACAAATAATAATACGAACTAAATTCAAGGAAAGGCAGGTCCAGTCAGGATTTTATTACTTCCTCTTTACATGCCTACAATTTTACCGCCTTAATAACATCCTTTCTAATCCCAAACTTCTTTACATTAAAGAAATCTGTCTCTCAAGATAGTGTCAGGAAGCTAGGAAGCCGACTTAAAAATATTAAAAAAGACCAGTACAATAAATATGAGTTCCTACTGTGTTACACACATCCAGCCTGTGGAGGCAGTAAATAAAACAGGGAAAAGTTTTGCCCTCATGGAGTTTATGTTCTTGTTTGTGTGCATCAGAAAGCGGGGAAGAGTTGGGGAGAAAGGGGTCAGGAAGAAAAATAGCCAAGTACCATATGATATGCATATGTGGTATGTCAGATGGTGAGAAAAGACACGGAGAACAGTTAGGAAACACACAGTAAACAGGTTGAAATCTTTCTCTGAAAAGAGAAACAGCAAATGGGGGAAGTTGTGGAAGAAAAGGTCAGAAATGGAATGAGGAATGAAAGGTGGTACAGGGAAAGGGGGTGGGGGTCAGCTCACACAAGGCCCTTACTAAGGACTATGGCTTTTCCTTTTAGGTGGCACAGAAAACCATGTTAGCAGCAAAATGATCTGACATAGGTTTTAAAAGCCTCCCACTGGCTGCAGTGTGAGAATAGACAAATGTGGAGGCAATCACCGGGGTGCGGGCTACTTCAGTGATGTGCACACTGAGATGAGTTGATTCAGCTGAGTGACAACAGTAAACATGGTGGGACAGACTCAGGATATGTCTTATTAAAGTCAGAGTGAACAAGATTTTGTGTCTCACTGGATCTGGGATATGAGGAACTGGAACAACCACACTTTTCATTTATGTTGAAATCAGGAAAATGAAAGGAGGAATAGGTATTGGTTCCTGGACATAAATGTTTAGAGATCAGGGAAACGGTCTGAGTTGGACACATACAATGTTAGAAATATATGACGATATGAAAAGACAGAGTATGACGAGACCACTGAGAAAGCTGTATAGACAGAAAACAGGTGGCAGACAGTAACCATTAATCCCTAAAATGATTTAGTACATCTGAGTTAGGACCTACTCGTTTGCATTTTTAGCAAGCTTCTCAACTGACTGATACACTTCAAAGTTTGAAAAAACTCACTGACAGACAAATGTCAAGATAAACCTCAGGCCAAACTACAGAATTTTAACTTAACTAAGTTTAATTTTATTTATAATTTTATAAGATGAAAGCTACACTTTTCCTAACATTTCGTGGAAATTTTTTATGAAAACCAAATACCTATCATAAATTAGACCATGAACTCCAAATTCCTTCAATTTCCTTCTGTTTTCAGGGTCATTGGTATCATCACCCCAGCAGAATATGACTAGTCCCTTAGCTTTTGCCTCTTGGATATAGGACGGATTTCTGAGCAGGTCTTCAGTATGTGCGTTAATCCCCTAAAAGAAGAAAAGTTAGTTGTTCATGAAAAAGTAACATGTTTACTATAAATGTTAAATACTTATAGAATATATGGGTCAATGCTTTCTAGAGTGAAGAGGCAAGGAAAGAAAATGTTAGATTTTTTTTCTTCTAATTTCCCTTATTCTTTTCAATATATAATGCAGTTAAAACAGAGTGCTAGGGCTGGGGATGTGGCTCAAGCGGTAGCACGCTAGCCTGGCATGCGTGCGGCCCGGGTTCAATCCTCAGCACCACATACCAACAAAGATGTTGTGTCCGCTGAGAACTAAAAAATAAATATTAAAAATTCTCTCTCTCTCTCTCACTCTCTCTTTAAAAAAAAAAAAACAGAGTGCTAATATATGTAAGTGATTTGTAAACATACATGTTGACTGTATGGCTATCCTCAATTCTAAATAGAGCTACTTGCTTATGACACAGTCAAATCTTTAACCATTAGGTAGATAAACATGAAACCTTATTTATTTACTACCACTGTAAGATACAAAACAATAGAAGCAAAACAGTTCAAACAACTTACCAGAAGATTTTCAAACTGTGCAAAGCTCATTGCGATGGGGGTTGTCCGAGATCTGAGATCCATAAGTTCAGGGTAAATGTCAGATTTTCCTTGAGTCAAAAATAATATGGGATATTTGTTCTGCTTCTGCCGAACCCTAAAAAGGACAAAACGATACTTTCTGTGGGGCGATAACTATAATATTGATTTGAAATTTTAGAAATAAAAACAGTCAAACTACTCAGATATATAACCACCATTAACTCAAGAAAAATATAAAATACTCTCAGGCATGAGCAACGAGAAAGCCCAGGAAGGTTTACGTAAGTTAAGAAGGGCATGACACACAAGTACATGAAGCCCACAGGGTGTGAGGCTCTAGGATTTCACAGGAAACCATCAGAAAGCCATCATGAAAACACAGGGAACTTGACTGAGGCCAAATCAAGGGAAAGCCGAACAACTTCCCAACCTCCAACCACCATCTGTACTGAGTGCTAACTACAAAGTAAGAGGACAGAAGGAAAATATTGAATATTACTTACATTGTACAAATATCTGCATCAAATGAAGAAAAGACTATTCTCCTCTTTCCAGAGTTTTCTAAAACAGTTTTTAAAATTATATCCAAAAACATATTCATGTCAAAATATGTTGATAAGTTACCATCCCACATTCCATCCTATGTAGGGGGGGAAAAAAGCCATTGCATACCTTAGAATCAGAATGTAAAAAAAAAAAGACAGCATCTAATTCATACTTTTCAAAAATTGCTTAATACACTTTATTATGTTCATTTAAAGCATACCACAAAATATTATGGAATACATAAAGACAGTACAAAGATTACTAAATTGAAAAAAGTTATCATATCAATCATCTCACACAGTTGCCCCTCTTCCTCTATTTTTGGAGTTAGGGATTAAACCAAGGTCCTTGAACACACATGCTACCTACCAGCCTACCACCAAGATACACCCTATACTCTTCCCTTTTGTGGCAAGAGCAGCCCAAATCTATTATTTTGCATACATACAATATCATTACATATAGCCCTCAGGATGTGCATGAGCACTCTAGACTTTTATCCTTTGACTTATATCTCCCCACTGCCTCCTCCTCCTCCTCCTCTCCCCAACCCTGTAACCACTGTTTTTTCTCTTCATGTATGTGAATTTTTAGTTGTTTTCAGATCCCACATATAAATAATATCATACAATATTTTTGTGTGTCTGGCTTGTTTCATTTAATATATAATGTCCTCCAGGCTCAACTATTTTGTGGCAAATGTGAAGAGCTCATTCTTTTCTAGGGCTGAATAATAAATATTCCAACTTATAAATGGACCATTATCCAATTGTCCATCAAAGGGCACTTAAGTTGTTTCTATACCTTGGCTATCATGAATAATACTATAATGAATAAAGGTATCCCTAAGGTAATGATTTAATTTCCTTTGAATTTGTGCCCAGAAAAGGGACTGCTGGATCATATGGTACTTCTGTTTCTAATTTCTTTAGAAACCCCAATATGGCTGCACTAATCTACATTTCCACCAACAGTGTATAAGAGTTCTCTTCTAAGCATGATCTCACCAATATTTATCTTTTGACTTTTTGATACCGCCCTAACAGGTATGGAGTGTTATCTCTTAATGCTTTTAACCAACCCTGATTTCACAGATGAGGAAGTCAAAGATCTGAAAAGATAAAGTAACCTGTCTAAGACTACAGTTATTCAGTGATGGCAAAGAAATCATAATTCAGGTATAGACACTCATAAAAAGTCACTATCATTAATAGGCTTCACTTTAATGTTAAAAGATAAAATTCTAAAAAATTATAATCTACTGATTTAAAATTTATATAATCTTCATAAAAACTGTTTCATTTGCTAAATGAGAACCTATAATTTCACCAAAAACAACAAACATCAAAATAACCTTATACACTATAAACAATCCTTTATTTAAAAAAATAACATTTGTGATTCTTCTTCATTGGGTCTCAGACATTATCAACTATCCTTTAAAAATAGTTAAATAATTCAGGGGCAGGGGCAGGGCAAGGGGAGGTTCACTGGGTTGAACAGGGTGGAGTGGGAAGAAGGGAGGGAGACTGGAATAGGAAAGTCAATAGAATGAACCAAATATAACTTTCCTATATTCACAGATGAATGCAAGACCAGCATTTACTATGTGAACCAGGACCATCATAGCCTGTCTTAACAGCCAAGATTAGCTAAGCACAGTGGTGCATGTCTATAATCCCAGTGACTGGGGAAGCTGAGACAGGAGGAGTTCAAAGCCAGCCTCAGCAACTTAGTGAGGGCCAAGCAACTCATTGAGACCTGTCTCTAATAAAACATAAGAAAGGAATGGGGATGTGGCTTGGTGGTGGTTAAGTGCTCCTGGGTTCAATCCCTGGTACCATAAATAAATAAACAAACAAACAGACAGACAGACATGATTTGAAGAGTCACAGAATATTCTGACCAAAACAAAATACAGGACATCAATCAGTCCAACTGACCAATTATGATACCTGAATAAACTACTTTCAATACCTGTCCTCAATCTAGCTCTCTCACCATGATTCTCATGTTTTCCTCAACTAGAACATACGTTCCAAGAATACAGAACCTTATTAAAGTTCACTGCTTATCCACTGTATTCAGAAAATGCCTAGACTGTAGCAGCTTTCTATTAAATATTTACTGAAAAAAAAGAAATGATTAAATTTGGAAACAATTTAAAGCATAGCTGAATAAATTCCTTTTCCAGGTAACTATTACTAACTACTGCTCCTCAACAGAAAACTGCTCAGAAAATTATTTAAAATAAATATTTAGATATTAGAAAGTATTATTTAGAATTAGAAAGTATTAACTAAATCAGAGATATTGTCTACTTTATAAATCTGTCTAAAACCCATTCATTAATGTACAAACCAGGTGTATGTAAATCAAAACTTCTATTATAAATGCATCATTAATTTAAAAAGTACTCACATATTAGCTAAGTGTAACATAGGTTTTTGTAAAAAGATCTAACAAGTACTGTACTTTGATGCATAAAGTTGAAAAATTTCAGTTTAACTTAATTGCATTAAAACAAAAACACAAACCAAAGAACTTTAAAAATGGAAAAGGGGGACAGGGATTGCATAGAGAATTACTTACCCTTTGTTGGCAGATCCATTTAATTTCTATGTTAAACCCTACATCTTCTGGCAAAGACTCTAAAACCTGGAGTTTTGTTTTTGGTGAAACAGATGGTAGAATAAAAACAAATAAATAAAAGAATTATTATAAGAAGCAATCAATAAGAATACTTTACTAGTAAGGATAAAGTGTTTTATGTCTTCAGTAAAAACCACTATGTTTTCTCATTAAACTGACAAAATGGTTAGTGACCACTATATTAAATAAGACAAATTAAAACAGCAAAAGGACCAATTTCAAGTTATAAGTGTAATAACTTATAACTACCACCAGAAAGATAGATCCTTAACCTAAAATCCTTTTCACCATTCCTTTTAGAACATTCCATGTGAGTTATAGACAACATCAAGAATTCAGGAAGACATCTTTTATGTATTCTAAATTATATTCAGGTATATTGATATACTAAGGTATGATTACATGAAAACCAATGATTTTTAGCTTGTTTTGGAAGTGATAATACTTTAAAAAAAAAAACAAAACATGCTGATAACCCCCCAAAAAGTTATCTCCAAATGAAACAATATACTAAAACTCATAAAGCAAAAGACTATATAAATGAACAAATAGTTATTCTATTTATTAAAAAACATCTGGGACTGGGGTTGTGGCTCAGTGGTAGAGTGCCCGTCTAGCATGCGTGAGGCACTGGGTTCGATTCTCAGCACCACATACAAATAAATAAAATAAAGGTCCATCAACAACTAAAAACAAAAATTTAAAAAATCTGAATTGTTTAGTCTTAAAACAAATGATAGGGCAACACACAAATATGCTTAGGGCAAAATGAATCAAAATACATTGTTTTTACTTTAACAGATTCAAAACTTCAGAGTGTCATTAACATGTATAATATATATTTAATTTTATAAAAGCAAATAAAAGCACACCAACAAAAAAAGTTAGTGTAAAGAGCACAGCTGGGGCAGGGGATATATAGCTCAGTTGGTAGAATGCTTGCCTTGCATGCATAAGGCCCTATGTTCAATCCCCAGCACCACAAAAAAAACCACTGCCTACCCAGGTGTGGTGGCATATCCCTGTAATCCCAGTGGCTGGGAACAGGGGTGGGTAGGCTGAGGCAGGAGGATCTTGAGTTCAATTACAGCCTAAGCAAAAGGAAGGCATAAATAAGCAACTCATTGATGCTCTGTCACTAAATAAAATACAAAACAGTGCTACAGATGAGGCTCAGTGGATAAGGAAAAAGTGTGTTATAGTGTTAAGACTATAAAGCATAAAATTTGCAAAAAGATTGTCCTTATACTAAAATTATATTTGATAGTTTATTAAAATTTCTTTGTGATTACATAATGATAATGGCAAATTAAGTGTGTTAGATGCATCTGAGTGTCACTTATTAGGCTAAATAAATGTTGTCAAACATTCAATACAGAATTAAAATTTGTCTGTTTCTATAGGGTACACATACACGATGGAATACTACCCAGCCATAAAGAGGAATGGATGGAGCTAGAGACTATCGTGTTAGGTGAAATAAACCAATTCCTAGAACCCAAGGCCACATATTCTCTCTGATATGCAGATGCTGACTCATAAGTGGGCATGGGGTGAGGCAGTGGAGTGAATTTGATAGAGGAGTGGGGAGAATTTGCTAGGAGTGGGGAGAGGAGAGGGAAGATAAAAATGGGAAAGACAGTAGAATAAACTGGATAAACTCTCCTATATTCCTATGATGTGTAACTCCACACACTGTACAACCACAAAAGTGAGAAGTTAAACTCCATGTATGTAAGATGTCAAAATACATTCTATTGTCATGTATAACATATAATTTTTTTAAAAAATTTGCTTTTCTTTCTATTCAGTAATTCAAAAGGTTTGGAATCATGAGATTTCTGAAAACCAATGACTTATGGGTTCTTTTGTGACAACATTTTTCCAGAATGAAGTAATTCTTCTTTTGGGGGGGTACCAGAGATGGGTACTCAACCACTAACCCATATCCTCAGACCCTATTTTCGTATTTTTCATTAGAGACAAGGTCTCACTGAATTGCCTAGAACCTTGATATTGATGAGGCTGGCTTTGAACTTGAGATGCTATTGCCTCAGCCTCCAGAGCTGCTGGGATTATAGGTGTTCGCCATCATAGCTGGCCAATCAATACTTTGACTACTGTAATTATTTAGATTGTTTTATGAATGTCTTCTCAGGTAATACATACCTAAATGTTTTAGCAAAATACCTCATTGGGTCCTTACTGTCACTCCTTTTCTAAATTATTTATCTTCATATTTTAGCAACCAGATAACATACTAGATTAAAAAAAAATACCCCACTAACACTATAATGGAGTTTTATTCATCCATAAAGAAAAATGAAATTATGGCATTTGCAGAAAATGGGATGAAACTAGAGACCATCATGTTAAGCAGAGTAAGTCAAACTCAGATGGTTATGGGTCATGTGTCTTTTTCTCATATGTGGAAGCTAGAGAGAAAAAAGAAAAACAAACAAACAAACAAAAAGGTGGGATTGTATGTCCTAAAAATCAAAGGGAGATCAGTAGAGAAAGGGTCCAAAAGGCATGTAGGTGAGGAGGGAAGGGAAAAGTGCTAGGAAGGGATATTGGCTAAATTATACTGTTATATATAAATTATACTGTTATATATTTACATATTGTTATATAAATTATATTGTTATGCATGTACAAATATATAACCACAAATCCATTTAGCATGTACAACCATAATGCACAAACAAAAAAATGTGGGGGAAAGAAGAGAATATGAAAATAAAGAATCATCATAAACTGAAAAAAAAAAAACTTCACTAATAAGCCCCCATGCCTAAAACATACATTTTTCACATCATAATACTCTGTATTCACCTATTTTTGTTTAAGAAATCTACCACACCTGACATTACCAAAGACAAGCCAGGCAAGATGACACACACCTATAATCCCATCATCTCAGGAGGATGATACAAGAGGATTGTGTGTATAAAGCCAGCCTCAGCAATTTAGCAAGGACCTAAAACACAGGAGACCCTTTCTCTAAATACAAAAATAAAGGGGGTGGGGGTGGGGCTGGAGATGTGACTCAGTGGTTAAGTGCCCCTGGGTTCAATCCCTGGTATCAAAAAAACAAAACAACAAAAAACACCACATAAGAGCAGGTATTAAGAGGCACAGTAGAAACCAAGGGAAACCCATCATCTCTCTTGCACCTATGTGGGCTTTCCTGATTCTTTCAAAAGAATTCCTGTATTAACTGCCTGGTTTTTAAAATTTTTCATCCTAATTTCTTTCTCAGTGAATTTTTGAAATCTATGCCTTATTTTAAGTAATGAGGGTACTCATTTTCTCTAGTACAGAATCTTACTTCTTTCCATAAAAACTATTGTTTGAAAACAATCACTTTTTTAAACATCTCACCCTCTTCCAGCCCTTTTTTTGCCTTCTCCTTCTATATACAGAAATATGTACATATGCTATTCTTACCAAATTAAGCCATTGAGGAAATTTTTATTTGAGATAAGTTACTCTTAAAATAAAAAAGCAGCACAAGTATATCACACAAAAGAACACCTTCTAGAAGCACCAATGATAACAGATTTGCATTAATCACATTATTCACACCATCTTTTTAGTACCCATTAAAAGAACAAAATAAACTGTTCAGGCAATAAGATTAATGAGATAGACTTGTCCTAGTTTTCCTCAGAAACTTACCATCTTAAGAGAAGGAAATGGTTGATTTTCAGAAAAGGAATTTTCTTCCTCAATCACAGATTCTGAAATTTTAAATAACAAAAATTTAGTAAATAAAATGCCATTGTATCACTAAGATTTTTTAAACTCTAAAAAACTAGAATGAACATATACTGAAAGTATCATAAGGTCCTTTAATGTCTGAAACGTCTGAAGTCTCCTGGATTATTTTCAACATTGAAAACTGCATATTCTAAACAAGCATCCCTCATAAAGACTAGTTTGCAACATGTAGTAAAAACACCATAGTCTGGTCTCAAGAGTGATTGTTTTTTAAAACATTGGGGATTGAACCCAAGGGTACTCTTATCACTGTGCTGCTATGCCCAACCCTTTTTGAGACAGCATCTCCCCAAGTTGCCAGGCTGGACTTGAACTTGCTATCTTCCTGCCTCAGCTTCCCAAATTGCTAGGATTACAAGTGTGCATCACAGTGCCTGATCATAATACTACTCTTCTAAAAGTAGTCAAAAGCAATAATCAGTCATTTATCAATGGAATTGAGTTGTGTTATTTTGCTAAGACTTCTATTTAAAATATCAAAACCAGCTCAGAAATTAGATAAAATAATCTATAGATAAACCAATAAATCATATTAAGAGATCTAGAAGACAATTTTACTGAGAAAAAAATATCAAACGTTTCTTAAAAAACAAAACACAAATCCCAATTTATGTATATTTCAAAAAACTAAAACTAAAACAATGCAAATTTTTCCAGTTGAATAAATTAAAGGCAAAATTAGTTTTACAGTCAATAAATATCTGTAACACTATGCATTTATAATTATGCTTCAGAGATAATCTTTTAAGTCTTAAGCACCTCACAGTTTGTTCATAAAGGCATCCATATTGTGTTAATAACAACTGCAGACAAACTACTAAAGTGCCTATCAAATGTAGAACACTGTGAAAGTAGATCTCTAGAAATATGAAACCATTTTTCTACACGTGAGAGGCTTAATTAAAGAGCAAGAACATAAATACAAAGGATTCAAAAAGGATACAATAAGCCTCAAATGAATGGAAACCTATTAAACCCTAGGTGAGTAGAAAGCAAAGTGTAATTACAAAGAGATATGGCAGGCAACAACAAGCTTTGAGGAAATGGAGGCAGAGTGCTGAAGTAACCTGCCCAAGGTCATAGCTGATATTTGAGAGAGCTGGTTTCAAACTCTGGCTCTGTAGCCAAATTCTATACTTGATAATACTCTAACCATAATGATTAGAACATTTGGAAAGATTTATAGGTACAAAAATTGTGAAGAATTCTGATGGCTTTGCTAAGAAAAATAACAGAATGGTTATTACACATGACATATTTCAGTTAAAAATTAACACATGTATAGCCATCAAATCTATAAAAATACATTCAGATGGCCCAGTATTATATTCATTAAAATGACCATGAACAGGTTTCCATATTGGTGCATACCTTGTCGATCTTTAGATTTTAATGCAGTCACATGGGCAAGCTAGAAGACACAAACACACAACATGCAATGAGAAAAACAAATCCTGGTTTATGAAGAGATGGTTAATAGAACTATAGCTTGAAAACTCAGGAATTTTGAAAATAATATAAAATGTAGAATTACAAGTTTATTAAAAATAAACACTACGCTAATTATTTTATATGCTTAAAAGTCATGGTCATTTATATACCTAAGGTCATTTGATCATAAACCTAAGGTCATGATCAAATGCCCAGGTAGGGAAAAAGAATATAAAAATTCCTGAGTCCAGAAACTGCTCATACTTAACTATCTATGTATCTAATGAGAATGGAAAAAAGAATCATGTAAAACTACATGGTACAACCAAAAATACAAAGATCCTAATCAACATTTGTACAAAACCTACTATCAAATAAAAGGCCAACTATAAAACAGAGACAGCCATAAAGAAAAGGGCTATTGCAGAACAAAAGCAATTTAAGAATATGAATGTGAAAGGCTAACCCCCTAAGGCCTACAAAGACTTATGGCCTAGTTCTTTCAAAAACACAAAAATCAATGACATCCACAAAAACTGTTAGAGAAAATGGATGAATCAGCATCTTCCAAATCAGAGCAGAAAAGTAAAGCACACATTATGTATATTAACTAGTCAATCTTGTGTGCAGGAAAAACATAGCCATTTATCAGTAAGTAGAACTTATGAAATGGTAATTTACATTTATGCTACTGTTACTACCTTTAACAACTGGAGTTGGTCAAATGTTAGTTCCTTTACCGGTATTTCAAACAATTCAACTGGATCAGCATCAAACTTCTAAAAAATACAAAAAAAAAAGAGAGAGAGAGAGAAATGGGCCTGTTTCATTATTACTGAATGTTTCCTCTGGATATGCCTATAATTTCAATTAACTGAATAATAAGAGTAAATTAGAAAGCCCCATGCAGAAAAATCATTTTTACCTAACATTACCTCCCAGTTTTATACTCTTGTTTTTTTAGGCGGTGCTAGGGATCAAACCCAAGTTCTTGCACATGCTAAGCAAATGCTCTACAAATGAGCCTACCCAAGTTCCTGGCTTTTTTTTTTTTTCCCCCAAAGCAGGCAGGAATGCCAGGACAGAAAAGCCTGTGGGGAGTAAGTTGTGGCACTGAAGACACAACTGAAGACACGAGGAAATGTCTGTCAGTCATCCTTTCCCCTGCTTTCTATCATGCTATATACTTTGTATTTGACATATAATCCATGCTACATGCCTAGGAAATCAACATGCAAATTTCTGTTTCTAAGATTCTAAAACTTTTCAAATGTAAGTCTAGATAAAAATAGCAGCCAGGCAAAGAAATTGCCATAACAAAACTGTGCAATTAGCTTTATAAGCAATACTATTTAATAAGAACTCAGATCTATGATTCCCCCACAAGCAAATATACTCTTCTAGATTTTAATGCCATAGCAAACATCACATTGTTAGAGGTACCATTATCTTTAGAAAATGAGTTGAGTACCTCCAATAAATAAATCATCAATTCAACAAACACGCTAGAAGTCATTAAGTACATATATATTTATTCATGTACACTGGTACGAACCTGTGTATGCCTAAAGTTTTTCTGGAAGGATACACAAGAAACTATTAAGAATAAGGGAATGAGATCAAGGAAAAGGGGAAAGGAAGATTTATTTTTTTCATTTCATAAATCTGAACTACTTGCATTTTTAAATAGACAAATAATTTTTATATGAAAAATGCCAGCTTAAAATTAAAATCAACCTAAAAATAATACATACTCACTACTTTCATTCCCCAATTAACTCATTCAGCTTCAACATCAAAGCAAGACAGTCTGGTGAAAACTGGAGATCAGTAATACTCTATACTAAATTTTTAATACTCTTCAATAATTTTTAGAGATGGTGTTCTCCCACAGCAAAAGCTAGTTGCTCTATTTCTTTTTAATTATTCTACTTCTTTCTTCATCTGAATACATGTATCTCATTCCTTCCCTCCCTCTCCTGATAACACTTAACAAAAACAGAAGTATCTTTTTTTAGCTATCATAGCAACCCAATCCCCAAGAACTCTTAAATCCACTAGCAGGCAGACCCAGGTGCGTTGTCTTTTATACAACATATCTGGTACAGTGTTCTACATAAACTGGCCTTAATTTTAAACCAAATAAATTGAAAATGAGAACCAATATAATTGGAGGTGGGAGGAGCCAGGGAATGAACCTAGGGGGTGCTTACCCACTCAGTCACATTTCCAACCTTTTTAAAATTTCTTATTTTGAAAGAGGGTCTGAGTTGCTTGGGGCCTCAGTAAGTTGCTGAAGCTGGCTTTAAACTTGCAATCCTCTTTCTTGCTTCAGCCTCCCAAGCCTCTGGGATTACAGGCTTGAGCCACCACACCCAACTGAGAACCAATATAATTGAAAATGCAAAATGAACCTTCCTAGGTTAAGTTCCTGAGAAATCACTTTAGTTAATTTGTGTATACTGAAGCTCAGGGATGAAAAAACAATTGACAATTTTGTTTGTACAATGACAACAAACTTTTAAAATTATATCGATTTCAAAATCTCATTCTGAATTCTGCTCTCCATAATATATGCCCTCTTCTCCATTCTCCCTTTCCCTACTGTACTAATGGTCCATATTATTACTTCCCTTGCCTCCAGTCTGTTTTTTCTGAAATTTCTATTTACTAAAAGATTAACCCTGAATTTTAGTTCTTGACATTTCCTTCTCAGCTAAAAAGTCTTTCATATTTCACTGGCTCTTAAGTCCATTCCTTCTTCAATGGGACTTTCAATTTTTTACTGTGATTCCTCGTTTTATACCAAACTATCCTATAAATTTGAGAAAGCAAAAACAGATGGGGGCTTAGAAAATAAACACTGGTACATATATCACCTGGAATAAAAATATTAATTGAACAAAACAGAGACTCTACTTGAGGAAATCAGTACCCATCTCTTCACTATCTTAAAGTTGCCAGAGCTAGAGACAGGAAAATACTGGCAATAATTCACCAAGAAATGAATTGAGTTGACTCCAGTTAATAAATAACTAAAAATATAACAAAGGTCCTTGTTTCACACCTTTTAGCTAACAATGAGTTTAAAATAAAGGAATTTCCACATACCTTCTTCATGGTCAAACAACAAGTGAGATCATGATATACCACAGGCACAAAGTCTTTTGAAAGGTGAACATCAAATTCTACAAAGGCTGCACCCTGACAGGAGGAAGCCAAGTATTAGAAAAACATTACCTGGCGTACGATACATCTAAAAGTACAAGAACATTAAGAAGCTTAATGTTATCAAAACCACCCTAAGATACCATCTCACTCTAGTAAGATTGGCAGCCATTATGAAGTCAAACAGTAAGTGTTGGCGAGGATGTGGGGAAAAGGGTACACTTGTACACTGCTGGTGGGAGTGCAAATTGGTGAGGCCAATTTGGAAAGCAGTATGAAGATTCTTGGGTAAGCTGGGAATGGATCCACCATTTGACCCAGCTATCGCCCTTCTCGGACTATTCCCTGAGGATCTTAAAAGAGCGTACTATAAGGATACTGCCACATCAATGATCATAGCGGCACGATTCACAATAGCTAGACTGTGGAACCAACCTAGATGCCCTTCAATGGATGAATGGATAAAAAAAATGTGGCATCTATACACAATGGAGTATTACGCAGCACTAAAAAAGGACAAAATCATAGAATTTGCAGGGAAATGGATGGCATTAGAACAGATTATGCTAAGCGAAGTTAGCCAATCCTTAAAAAACAAATGCCAAATGTCTTCTTTGATATAAAGAGAGCAACTAAGAACAGAACTCGGAGGAAGAGCATGAGGAAAAGATTAACATTAAACAGAGACAAGTGGGGGGAGAGAAAGGGAGAGGGAAGGGAAAGCATATGGAAATGGTAGGAGACCCTCAATGTTACACAAAATTACATATAAGAGGTTGTGAGGGGAAAGGCAAGGGGAACAAGAGAGAGAATTGAACAGCAGCAGATGAGGTAGAGAGGGAAGATGGAAGGGGAGGGGAGGGGGGATAGTAGAGGATAGGAAAGGTAGCA